GAGAAATGCAAATCAAAACCACAATGAGATATCATCCCACACCAATCAGTATAGTGATTATTTAAAAGTCCAGAAACAACAGATGCTGGTGAGACTGCGGAGAAAAAAGAATGCTTTCACACTGTTTGAGGGAGTGGAAATTAGTTCTATCATTGTGGAAAACAGTGTGGTGATTGCTCAAAGACCTAGAAGCAGAAATACCATTGGACTCAGTAATCCCATTGCTGGGTATATACCCAGAAGAATCTAAATCATTCTATTATAAAGATACATGAACACATACATTCACTGCAACGCTATTCACAATAGCAAAGACATGGAATCAACCAAAATGCCCATCAACGATAGACTGGATAAAGAAAATGTGATACATATACACCATGGAATACTATGCAGTGATAAAAAGGAACAAAATCATGTCTTTTACAGGGACATGGATGGAGCTGGAAGCCATTTTCCTCAGGAAAATAATGCAGTAATAGAAAACCAGACACTGCATGTTCTCACTTATAACTGGGAGCTGAACAATGAGAACACATAGACACAGTGAGGGAAAGGGGGAGCCTGTCAAGGGTAAGGGGGAGCATCAGGAAGAACAGCAAATGGATGCTGGGCTTAATACCCAGGTGATGGGTTGCTCTGTCCAGCAACCATCAGGGCACACATTTACCTATGTAAGAAACCTGCACATCTGCACATGTACGCTAGAACTTAAAATAAATGTTACAGAAAATAAAAAGAATGAGGTAATAACTAAACTGAATTTGTAAAAGTGGTAGGAACAAAGAAAACGCATTCATTGGGCAGATTCTATGGATTGAGTACTCCTACTTTCATAACTCTGAACTCTCACCACAACCCCTTGAGATATAGGAATTTTGTTTACATGTTGGGAGATGGGGAAACTGGAGCTTAAAGAGGTTAGGTTGCTCAGACTGCACAGACAGTAAGAGACAGGGCTAAGATCAAACATAGATCTGTATTATTCTCAATCTTGTCTCTATTTTCACCTTCAGCCCTTGAAGTTTTGCTGAAGACATAAAATAATTGCAATATGTTCCCAGCAAACTAAAATAATTATTCTGTCAATGAATGCCCACTGCTAGTTTTTCAAATACAAGTATTCTACCCTTACAGGTCATCTCTCTGCCAAGAATTTGAAGTGCTTTAGGAACTTGATTCTGTAAGTTCAATGGGAGCATACCCCCTAATGATGAAACCACGCATCCTATTCTAGTAATGGAAATGCTATAGCAACAAATCTAGCCCAAGTGACACCTGAAGAAGATCATTTTTGACACTCCCTCCTCTATATGTTCAAAATTTCCTATTGAAGATCAAAAATATATACATCCAGTAACTAATAAGTAAAGTTTAATGAAATGGAAATGTCTGCAAAATACAATTTAGGTAAGTACTAATTTTTACCACTGATGCACATTTTATGTTTTTATTTGTCTTTAGTTTTAAAACAATTGATAGTTTATAATTAAATTTTATAGATAATATTTGATCTCAGTATTTTTTATTATTTTATCTCAGTATTTTAGTTTGTATATCTCACATTTCATATATATGAACTAAAATTTGTACTCACTAACCAAACAATTTATATTTAATGTTTCAAATTTTAAACTCACAGATTTAAAACTCAAAGTGGTCACATAATATGATAGAATTGAAGTAACTTAGATACCAATTCTCCGTTATTACATTTTCTCACTGTTTATTTCAAATCTGTTGCTTAAAACACACAAAAATGTAGTACCATAGGAATTGGAAACACAAATAATGCCTGAAGAAAATTCAACATTTTAATCTCTAACAAACTTCATCTCAAACATATATAGTTAAGACCATATGTGTTATGGAGCTAACTGTATATACTGGGAGTTCTCCAAATTAACTTCCATGTAAAAAACAATGCTCATTAAAGGATAATAAAAATGTGTTAATTTGAAGCTTACATACATATTATTAAAATTTACCATTACGATTGTTTAGAACTTAGACAAACAGAGTTTTGGGGAAGAATTATTCTGTTACTGACTTTGTTTAGAATTGCCAACACATGGTTGTAATGAAAACCACCCTGCTTTTAGTAAGCTTTATTATTCTTTCCAAGTTCTTCCCAGGTCCCGCACCCAGGACAGATGGTGCTCACTGCCCCCACCTTTAGTATGCCACTAGCTCAATCACTTGTTCAATATCGACCTACCAAAAATACCTGGAAAGGGATGACATCTCTAAGACAGAGGATAATTAACTCATCCCCACAAAGTATGAATAAAGTCTTTGTTGAAATCTTTCTTCACAAAATAAAAATGTCTTTCTGACACCATCTGACATTCCAATCCAGTGTACATTTGAAACTATATGCTCTTGTTTTTGTTTTTGTTGTAGTTGTTGAGACAGTCTCACTCTGTTGCCCGGGCAGGAGTGCAGTGGTGCAATCTCGGCTCACTGCAACCTCTGCCTCCTGGGTTCAAGTGATTCTCACCCCTCAGCCTCCCAAGCCAGCTGGTACTGCAGACATATGCCCCCAAGTCCAGCTAATTTTCTGTGTATGTGTGTGTATCTATATGTGTGTATGTGTGTGTATTTTTTTTGGTAGAGATGGGGTTTCACCACATTAGCCAGGCTGGTCTCAAACTGCTGACCTCGAGTGATCCACCCGCCTCGGGCCTCCCAAAGTGCTGGGATTATAGCCGGAAACTACATTCTCTTAATCACCACTCCCAAGAACAAATGATGGAAACACATGGCTGCTTTGGGGTTTCTGTCATCTTAGTGACAGGCCCAAATTGCAACAGAGACAACATGTCTATATAACAGCATGAGTAGGATAATAAATAGCAGATGACAAGCCAGCCATGGAATATAAGGACAGTTCAAGCAATTTCCATCCAGAAAGGTCTGAGGAAAGTCCAAGCCTTTATGATTATATTAATATTTCACTTTAAGTAAAACTTATACCTCAGTTTGAACATATTTGCTAGCTATTTTGCTGGAAATAATGCCCAGTATAATAAAGAAGTAAGGGATAATATGCAAGGTATATTATATAACCAGCAAATGAACAAAGATTCTACTATCTGTAAAACATAACCATGTATCTATCACCAGGGTCAATACTGACCATGACTAGAAGGTATAAAAAGACAAGATGGTATAGAAAACTATAATACCAAATGAAAACCTATAATTAGAAACAGATAGGAAATTAACAATAGTTATTCAGAAAGGAAGACAACCTACATTCGTCCAACACTGACTTTCTCACAATTAGCTTGTATACCCCACACATGAATTGACTTCTGTTCTATAGCACATGAAAAGCACACCTTTGTATCTAACCTTGTCTATAAAAAGTATCTTACATAGCATACTACCTGCAACACACACACACACACACACACACACACACACACACACACACAAAAGCAGCAACAAAAACAACAGGACTTAAAAAGTAGCTAGAGTCAGTCTAAAAAAATTCTTCTCTGTAGTAAATATCTCTGTAGGTGATATTGTGACAATAACTCTTAAGTTAAATAGTCAGGACTTTCTGACTGCTCTTAGCTAAATGACTTGAAAGTTCTTTATTCTGGACACGGTTTTCTATTTGGTTTCCATATCTTACTGTTATCTGAATAGATTCCACTTAATCATTTCTTTGACTGTTGCCTTCATAGTCACTTTCTTGCATTAACTGAAATCAGCCACCACCTGAGGATATTATTACCTCGGCAGTGCATTCAAGGGGTATCTATTTTTTCTGCTTCATACCCCTTACCATTAAGTCTGTTTAAAAGGATCATATATACTTCTTGCTCTTAATTGCTTTTTCCAATGAACGATATTAATTTTTATTTTAAGTTCAGGGACATATGTGCATGTTTGTTACATAGGTAAACTTGTGTCATAGGGGTTGTACAGCTTACTTCATCACCCAGGTATTAGTTATTTTTCCTGATCCTTTCCCTCCTCCCACCCTCTAATAGGCCCCTGTATCTATTATTTCCCTCTATGTGTCCATGTGTTCTCATTATTTAGCTTTCAGTTATAAGTGAGAACATGTAGTATTTGGTTTTCCATTCCTGTGTTAGTTTGCTGAGGATAATGGCCTCCATCTTCATCAATGTCCCTGCAAAGGACATGATCTCATTATTTTTTATGGTTGCATAGTATTCCATGGTATATATATATATATATATATATATATATATATATATACCACATTTTCTTTATCCATTCTATCACTGCTGGGCCTTTATGTTGATTCCATATCTTTGCTATTGTGAGTAGCGTTGCAATGAGCATACATATGCATGTGTCTTTATAATAGAATGATTTCTATTTCTTTGGGGCCAGTAAAATATATTTTATTGCTTTTTCCATTGCTTTCCATTGTCTTATGGTGAGATTTTTGTCCATTGCTTTTTCTTTTGTTCTTCCACATCCCTAAAAATGCCCTGTTCCATTGAAACATTTGCATTGGACTCTACTCCCCTGCCATGTTGCAGTCATTTCTCATCCTTCTGGAGCTAGTCTTGTTGTGATCTTCTGCTGATTTTCTTGGCACTCTTTCTCCTTCCATGAATACTGGAGATCTAGCCTACTGAAATCCTCTCCAGTGCCCCTCTTGTCATCTTTGTCCAATAACCACAAACTCAGTGGAAATTCAATTCCTAGAAATTTCTTTATCTCCTCATCTTCAATGACTTTGTCTTCTTCATATATCAGGCCTGACACTCTGTGTTCATTCCAGTAATAACTACATCTCCTCAAACATGTCAATATTACATGTACATAATTATTTGACCCCATCAAACTTTAAAAATATTGACCAAATCACCAAGTATCTGTATATTATCCTGTCATATTCTCACTTACTTCTTTACCCACTTGTATTCTATTCCACAGACCATCATTATATCTACTCTCTTACATACACCTGAGTTCCTCCATCTGTCTTTTATTCTGTTGTAATTACTTACCAAATTTATATTCCTGGTTAAATAGGACTCTTCATCTACTCTCTGATTTCATCCAGGTATCTGAAAATGCAGAACGATATCATCATATATTTATGTTCACAAACTCAAAGCTTCAGCAATACTTAGCAACCCAACTGTATTGCTCTGATTAATTTACTCTCCTACTTCTGAAACAACTCCTCCATACCTTCACTTTCATTGTCAAAATGCTAGCATCCTCTATCCCCCTTATCACTCTCAGCTGTTTATCTTGATTCTTAGTTCAAGCAGCAACCAGAAAAATGAACCAATTCCTTAAAAGACACAATCTGCCAAAACTCAAGAAGAAATAATCCAAATAGGTCTATATCTACTTTTAAAATTTAATCAATATTTAATAATCTTTTAAAATGAAAAGTACTATTAACTAGTGAGGTTTAAGGAAGGTTTTTTTTGGTTTTTATTTTTTGAGATGGAGTCTTACTCTGTCACCCAGGCAGTACAGTAGCATGATCTTGGCTCACTGCAACCTCCACCTCCTAGGTTCAAGCCATTCTCCTATCTCAGTCTCCCGAGTAGCTACAGGCACGTGCCACCACGCCCAGCTAATTTTTGTATTTTTAGTTTCGCTATGTTGGTCAGGCTGGTCTTGAACTCCTGACCTCAGGTGATCCACCCGCCTCAGCCTCCCAAAGTGCTAGGATTACAGGTATGAGCCACCACACCTAACCTAAGGAAGATATTATACCAATTTTCTGCAATCTTTTTCAGAAGGCAGAGAAAATACTCCCTAACTCATTGTGTGAGACTAACAATACCCTAATTCCAAAACAATGCAAAAACATTCCAAGAAAACTACAGACCAATATCTCTTATGAACAGAAAGGCAAAATTCTCAGCAAAATATTCATGAATTGAATACAACAAAATACAAAAGTAATTATTCAGCATGAACAAGTGGGATTCATCCCATGTATGCAAGGCTGGTTCAACATTTAAAAATCAATTAATTTAATCCATCATATCAAGAGGCTAAAGAAGAAATTGTATTAATAGATGCAGATTGTATTAATAGATGCAGAAGATAATTTGACAAAATCCATTGCCCACTCTTGATGATTCAACTCTCACTAAACAAGAATAGAAGGGAAATTTCTTAACTGAATAAAGAATATCTACAAACCTTACTGCTAATATTATACATAATAGTGAGAAACTCAAAGCTTTCACACAAAGATAGGGAACAAGGCAAGGGTGTACTGTCTCATCAGTGCTTTTCAACATTGAACTGTAAGTCCTAGCTAATAAGACAATAAAAGGAAATAAAATGCATATAGATTAAAAAAGAAGTAAAAAGTAAGATCACTTTCTTTGTTCACAGATGATATACTTATTCATGTAGAAATTCCAGAAAAATTACCAAAAAAACTGGAGCTAATAAGTGGAAGTAATAACTGGAACTATATCAAGATGGCTGGATACAACATTAACATACAGAGTGAATTGCTTTCCTACAAACCAGCTATAAACAAATGGAATTTGAATTTAAAATCACAATACCATTTAAATTATCACTGGAAAATAAATAGGTAGAAATCTAACAAGTACATAAAGGATTTGTCAGAGGAAAACTACAAAACTCTGATGAAAGAGATCAAAGGAAAACTAAATAAATAGAAAAAATCTGTTTATGGATAGGAAGACCAAATATTGTCAAGATGTCCATTCTTTTCAATTTGATCTACAAATTCAATGCAATGCCAATTAAAGTCTCAGAAAGTGTTTTTTGGGGGGGTATCAACAAACTGATTCTGAATTGTATATAGAGAGGCAAAAGACCTGAAATAGCCAACATAATATCGAAGAAGAATAAAGTTGTAGGATTGACCCTACTTGACTTCAAGACTTAATATAAAGCTACAATAATTGAGACAGTGTGGTATGGCAAAAGAATAAACAAATAGATTAATGGAATGGAATAGAGGGCCCAGAAATAGGCCAACAAAACTATAGTCAATTGATCACTGACAAAGGAACAAAGGCAATAAAAAGAAGAAAAGAGTCTTTTTTAACAAATGGTGCTAGAACAACTGAACATTTATCTACAAAACATAAAAAGAAACTAGATACCGCCTTCACAAAAACTAACTCAAAATGGATTACAAGCCTAAGTGTAAAATGCAAGACCACAAAACTCCTAGAAGATAAAATAGGAAAAAACTCTAGCTCACCTTAGGCTTGGTGATGACTTTTTAGAGACAGCAAGGAGCAAAGGCGTGATCCATGAACAAAAGAACTGTTAGGCTGGACTTCATTAAAATAAAAAATTTCTGTCCTGTAAACGACACTATCAAGAGAATGAAAACTCATAGTCTGGGAGAAAATATTTGTAAAATACATATCTGATTAAGAATTATTACACAAAATACACAAAGAACTCTTAAAATTCAACAATAAGAAAACAATCCAATTTTTACGATAGGCTTTAACAGGCCTTAACAGACACCTCACCAAAGAAGATATGCAGATGACAAATAAGCATATGAAAAGTTGTTCCGCGTCATATGCCACAGAAAAATGCAAATTAAAACAGTGAGATACCACTGACACCTATTAGAGTTGATAAAACCCAAAACACTGACAACACCAAATGTCAATGAGAATATGGAACTACAGGAACTGTCATTCATCGCTGTGAGAATGCAAAATGGTACCACCACTTTGGAAGACAATTGGCCATCTCTTACAAAACTACTCTTACCATAAGACCTGGCAATTTCTTTCTGTGGTATTCACCCAAATGAATTGAAAACTTATGTCCACACAAAAACCTGCATATGAATATTTATAACAGCTTTATTCATTATTGCCAAAACTTGAAAGCAATCAAGATTCCCTTCAGTAGGTAAATTGAAAAATAAATATCCAGACAATGTAGCCACTATTGTAATACTGGAAGTCTTACAATTAGATAAGGTTATCTATGAGATGAGTGAAGATACAGAAGAAAAGGGGACAGAAGACTGAGTCTCAGGACACTCTAATATGTAGATGTCATGAAGGGGAAGAGGCCTCTATATCTCTAGTCTAGCTGCTCCCCTGAATATTAAATTTGCATATTCAACTCAGTGCTTAAAAAAAAATGAGCTATCAGCCATGAAGAGACATGGAGAAAACTTAAATGCACATTACTAAGTGAAAGAAGCCACTCTGAAAAGGCTACACGCTGTGTAACTTCAACTATACAACATTTCAGAAAAGGTATAGCTATATAGATAGTAAAAAAAATCAGTAACTGCCAGGGGTAAGGAGGGAGGAAAAATGAACAGGTGAAACACAGAGGATTTTCAACACGGTGGAACTATCCCACGTAATACTATAATGGGTTGGGCACGGGGCTCATACCTGTAATCCCAGCATTTTGGGAAGCCTAGAAGGGAGGATCACTTGAGGTCAGAAGTTCAAGACCAGGCTGGCCAAGATGGTGAAACCCCATCTCTACTAAAAATACAAACATTAGCCAAGCATGATGGTGTGTACCGTAATCCCAGCTACTCAGGAGGCTGAGGCATGAATATCACTTGAACCCATAGGCAGAGGTTTCAGTGAGCCAAGATTGTGCCATTGCACTCCAGCCTAGGTGACAGAGCGAGACTCAATCTCAAAAAAAAAAGAAAAATACTGTAATGATACCTATCCTCATACATTTGTCCAAGCCCATAGAATGCACAACACCAACAGTGATTCCTAATGTAAACTATGAACTCTGGGTGATAATGATGTGTCAATGTAGATTTATCAGTTGTAATTAATGTACCACTCTGGTGGGGGATGTTGCTAATGGGGAAGCCTGTGCAGGTTTGGGGGGGCAGGGATATGTAGGAAATCTTTGTGTCTTCTGCTTAATATTGTTGTGAACCTAAAACTGCTTTTTTAAAAATAGTCTATTTAAAGGTTGGGTGAGGTGGCTCACGCCTGTAATTCCAGCACTTTGGGAGGCAGAAGCAGCAGATCATGAGGTCACAAGTTCAAGACCAGCCTGATCGACATGGTGAAACCCCTCTGTACTAAAAAAAAAAAAACAAAAAGTTAGCCAGTCATGGTAGTACATGCCTGTAATCTCCGCACTTTGGGAGGCCAAGGTGGGTGGACCACGAGGTCAAGAGATTGAGACCATCCTGGTCAACATGGTGAAACCCCATCTCTACTAAAAATACAAAAAATTAGCCGGTCATGGTGACGCATACCTGCAATCCCAGCTACTCAGGAGGCTGAGGCAGGAGAATTGCCTGAACCCAGGAGGCAGAGGTTGCGGTGAGCCAAGATCGTGCCATTGCACTCCAGCCTGGGTAACAAGAGTGAAACTCCATCTCAATAAAAAAGAAGCACCAAGCAGGCTTTTGTCTATACTCATATATTCCCTTATATTGGTTGCTGATGACTCCATATTGCTAAATCAATGGTGAGAGCACTACCACAAACTCACTTGACCCCTCAGAAGATTGTGGCACAGGTGACCACATTTTTTTTTTCCTGAAACTCTGTCTTTACTAGGCCTTTCCATACCCTACTCTTGGATTTTTCTCCTACCTCATTTAACCCTCCTTTCATTCTCCATTGCCTCTTCCTTTTCATGACTTCTAAATGTTAAGAGTACCCTGGAACGTGGTCTTCTGTCCCCATTTCTTCTGTATCTATACTCATCTCATAGACAATCCTATCTAATCACAAGGCTTCCAGTATCACAATAGTGGCTACATTTATATCTCTAGCCTAGACTCTCCCCTGAACATTCAACTTCCATATCTAACTAACTGCGTATATGACCTCTTCAACTGAATATTAAATTAGATCTCAAATGAAACTTATTGTTTCCCTATAGGACCTGGGGTGGGGGGCGCTGGAGGTATGGTCCATATTTTGCTTTCTCAATAGATTTCTTCATTTCAGTAACTGGCACATTTTCAAGCAGCTGTCCGGTGGCTCTTGGAGTCTCACCACTAAGCCATCAGCAAGGTCAGTCAACAACTTCTTCTCAACATTTGCATCACAATCACTTTATTACAAAGCATCCTTTTTCT